CCGCCGAGCAGGGAGCCCGATGCGGGGTTCGATCCCAGGACCACAGGATCACGACCTGAGCCGAAGACAAACGCCCATCGACTGAGCCACCCAGGTGCCCCTTATCACCACATTTTTCTAGTAGAAACTACAGAAGTCCGCTATTTGACTTGTGTGTACAGGTCTAACATCTGTAATAAGCACAAACATGTTTCTGCAGTAAAATACATGAATTTTTTTAAAGATTTATTGATTCATTTGAGGGAGAGAGAGCATGAGCGGAAGGGCAGAGGGAGAGGGAGAGAGACTCTCAAGCAGATTCTTCGTTGAGCATGGACGTGGAGCCTCACGCAGGGCTGTCTCTCGACCCTGAGATCGAGACCTGAGCCGAAACCAAGACTCAGTCACTCAACTGACTGTGCCACCCAGGTGCCCCAAAATACATGATTATTAACATTAGGTGCAGTAAATAAAGACCATGAATACCTTCACATCTGGTCTTGCCACCAAACGAGTTAAAAACAAAATTTTTGCTTTTCAGAGCACTGTGGGTTTTGGAATTACAGAATAGGGTGTGTGGAACAGTGTACAAACATGAAAAAAGATTCACAAATGGACATTTTAGGAGTCAAGCGAACAAATCTGAGGCAACAGACTAGAGATTTTATTTATGGAAATACTATAAAAACACCAGCAAGGACCCCCATAATGACCTTGTATGGAAATTGTGACCCTATTGCAGGGTGGGATGGGTCCTGCCCTGTCCAGGGACCCAAATGGACAATTCTAATCTGAGCAGAAAGGAAAGCCTGGGACAGATGTGAGGCAAGCTCTGCCTTTAGCGATGTAAGCAAACACCTGCTGAGTTTTAACTTTCCTTCCTTGTCTTTCCAAGCCGTCACTCTGAAATTCTGAAAGCCAGCGTGACTCATACACACCTTCGGAAGCTTTCAGTATTTATTACACTTAGATCAGTGCAGAGACATACTACTTTTTGGTGCATCACCTACAAGCAACTCACATTATCTGTCTTGATTCCCCCAACTGTCTCTGTGCGCTGTGTTATTATTATGATCCATTTTCGGAAGAGAAAGCTGCAGCTCAGAAAGGTGAGAGGACCTGCCCGAGGTCACACAGCCAATACCAGCAGAGCTGAGGCTCCAGCCCAGGCCTCTGCGCCTCCCTCTTGCTCATGGTGCTCCAGCCACGATGGCCTGATTGCATTCTTCGACTTTGCCCAAACACTTTCAGCTCAGGGAGCAAGCAGCCTGGACACACCCTCTTCAGCCTGCACACCCCGTGCCATCTTCTTCTCATTAACCGCTTTAGTCACCTCCTGGAGACCCCACCCCACCAGCCAGGTGCTTTCCCAGCACAGCTTTCACCTCAGCGGTAATTTTTTTTTAAATTATAGAACCATTTATTTAATACCTGACTTCCTGACCGGACCTTAAACTCCATGGGAGCAGGGACCCTGAGCATGGTGCTCATTTCCTCCCCACCACAAGAACTGCACAGTGCCTGCTACCTGGTTAGAAGCATAATGAAAGATCAATCAACAAAAACATCTTCTGACTCAAGGATCAGTTTTCACTCCACGGTGTGGGATTATCTCACCAGTTGCCAAGCCTGTGAACCTGTTGCTGGTCTCTGTGGTTTGTCACAGATCTCCTAGGCACTGGTGACATGAGATGCTTTCTTCCACGGGCCATGATCGTGGTACCTCCTCCACACATTTAAATCCTGCCACCACACGTCCTCCAACAGCCCTGCAGGTAGGACTTCTGGAGCGTGCAAGTTCTCGTCCACATGGCAGCATGCATGGTGGCTCACGGCAGCCTATTAGCAAGCAACATGGTACCGGGAAGATGGTCTTGCTGCTCTTCCTGCTGCTCTTAGGAACGTGCCTTTCCAAAGATCAGCCTCTCTGGTCGTACCCCCAAAATCCTGCTATGAAATAGGGGCAGAAGTGGAGAATTTCCAGGTCTGTCAAGAGCAAACTTTCATCCTGTCTGGGTAATTACAAGTAGGAAAGGGGGAGGAGACAAGAAAGGAAGGAAGGAAGAAAGGAAACAAGAGCCAATGGACCTTAGGAAAAGGACTGGTGGCCCCATTGTTCCTGTTTTTTGTCAAGCAGCCAGCCCCTGAGACAGGGCTCTCACCTCTTCCTCCTGCACTAGACACCCTCAAGCCTAGATCTGATGCTGTGCTTGCATTCTCTCTCCTACATCCAACCCAAGTGAAGCCATGGTGGGAAAATGTCCAGTTGTATGAGGAAATGTATCAAGCAAGTATCCTTCACTTTTTTAGTTTCTTATTTTTTTAAGATTTTATTTATTTATTTTAGAGAGAGAGACAGATTGTGAAAGAGCACAAGCGGGGAGGAGAACAAGAAATAGCTCAAAACAGAGGTACAACCATCTCTCTTGAGTTTAACTCCTGAGTGATTTCCTCCTCTGAGTTTTTTTTTTTTTTTAAAGATTTTATTTATTTATATGACAGAGAGAGACAGCGAGA